TCTATAAAAACACCTTTATATTTTCCATGTAGCATATTTTTCAGTATGCTTAAATCTGTTTTCATTTACCCTGGGGAAGAAAGGCAACTTGTAGTCTCTTCTTGAATCTTGGATACTGCACAATGCTTTATGTTAATATACCATGTGTGAAGGAAAAAGGCCTCTTTAATTTTTCCAGCTTTTGACTGTTTCTCAAAGATAAATTGCAGTGTCTCTGAGGACACTTGCGCACACTATATTCTTGTTTCCACTGTGAAGCCTTAGATTTTGTAGGGGTGGTTCTTTACTTCATTTTCTTCAAGAGGTAGGAGACAGGCTGCAAGTAGAAGACACATTTTAAGAGCTCATTGTTGAATAGAAAAGTCCCCATGCAAAGGAAAAATGTGTCACGGGTAGGTTGCGCCATTTAACTCTTTGTTTTTGTATGAAACCTTAGCTTTTTTTCAGAGCAAATAGAAAAATGAATATATATAAATCCATGTAGCAGGTTGTTTTGTCATTCTTTGCCTACGTCTTATATGTATACGTCTTATGTGTATACAGTCCTACCTGTTTAAGCATGCCATTAGAAACTCAATTTTTTGATCATGCAAGAGATGCTCATCTATAATGTAAACCGGGTTACCAAAGTCTTCAGCTTATTCAGCTCTTCATGAAATTTCAGATGGTTCATTCACCTCCAAACACTTATTATATGAAAATAATTTAATAAATACTACTTTCATAACACTAAAAATAATAATAGTAACAATAATCATCAACCTTTGGAGTTGATACTCACTTTTTGGAGACTCTATTGAAAATGAATTCTATGGGCTAAGGCTAAGGAAATCAAGGTATGAGTGGTGGAAAGCCTGATACTGAGTTCAGACATTGCTTTAAGTTGTAATACGGTTTCCTTGACTAATATCTAGTCCCCTGGTGGCGAACCTATGGCACATGTGCCACAGCTGGCAAGCAGAGCCCTCTCTGTGGGCACATGCGCCGTCACCCCAGTCCTAGGCCTTCAGCTGGGTTTTATAAAACCTTTTTGCAAGAAAAAAGGTTTAATCAATCAATCAATTTCAACTTCTCGTGGGAAAAAGAACAATCTTGCAAAGTTGGAATTGATTGATTGAACTTTTTAGTCCCACCCAGTCTGCCGTTACCACCGCAGCCATGCCCATCCAATGGGCCGTGCCCATCCAATGGGCCACGCTCACCCGGCACCTGACGATACATAAGTGGGTTTGGGTTGCAGTTTGGGCACTCGTCTCTAAAAGGTTCGCCATCACTGAATGAATAAAAAATGTGGCTCATTTAATAGTTCAAAATAAACCATTCCATGACTTGGAATTAATGTGAACCTATAGATTTAACTCCACATGTTCATTTCCCTCTTAGCAATTGTAAATATTGTGAGGTTTATGTTTCCAGTCTTCATCTTTTCCAAGTCTTTTAACCATTGATAGCATGCCCCCTAATTTGTATTTTTATTAATGGCAATAGAAAATTCCTTGTATAGGATTCAGTTGGTATAGCATTTGGGTACTTTCACAAAGCCATTTGTTCTGCAATAGCTACACTGAGAAATGTCCTAAAGACAGAAAATGATTATGCTTTAATTTTCATAGCTTTTGACTTAAGTTCAAGATGCAAAACCAGGTCAGATAGGGAACAAGAGGGAGAAAAGGAAAATGGACCAATAGAAGAGATGGAGAGAAGCTAAGAGCATCTACTTCTCAATAATATTATCCATTCCTCTGAGTTATATTACAATATGGGTAACTATATAAATCTTTTTAAATAAATAATATTCTATGCTATTATAAAAAATAACACTAAGACACACACTCTCTCTCTTCCCCCTCCCTCCCTCTCTCTTTCTCTCTGTCTCTCTCTCCCCACCCCAAGTGTAAACAGCTATCTCTAGTCTCCCTTTTTAAATAGTTCAGTTTTAAAGCTGAACCATTCAGTTTCTTTTTTTTTTCTAAGATCATAAAATGTCAAGCTAGGCAGTGAGGATGAAATAGGACTAAAGTTTCTGGTCTGATCTTGAGTTCAGAACTTGGATTCCAAGTTCTGACAGATTTTGAAATAATATCATGGGAGAAGACAAATATTACTAGGCACTAATGATGTTGTCAGTCTCCAAACAGTACTTTTATTTGCAACAAAACTACAGAGAAAGGAAGAATTATTTACAATTTAGATGCTGGGAAATGATGGTTCTTCCTGGAAAAGGGATGCTAATACGCAAATGGTCATCTGTTTATTTATAATTACTAGGATAGTATTCAGTATACTCAAGTGCAAGAAGTCCTTTCATTTGAACTTCTCAGAATTGAAAATTTGTTTCTTTGCTGGCTGGCATCAGTGCTACAGCTGAGCATAGTTAACACCTGGGTCTCAATTTTTTTCCCCAATATAAGCCTGCAGTCAGTACTGAGTGACTCAGTCTGACATATTTTAGATCTCCCAGAATGGCCAAAAACAAAATAACTTGAAGACATTATAGGAAATTAAATTGGAGACTTAGATCTGGCTGATGAAAATATTGCAGCAGATAAACCAACTGAGGTACATTGATGTAAGAGAACCTCACTGTATTACTTGGAACCCCCATGACAAAACTGAAGCCTTAGGATTTTTCCCAGTATTTTCTTACCATAATCTTCCTCCAATTTTGGCTGTAAATTCTGCAAGATGCAGTCCCAGCACATCTGGAAAGGACCAAGCTGGGAAATTCTGGCTTTGTTATTTAGAAAATATATTTTGCTGAGACAACATGATCTGAAACTTTTCTAAGCAAAATAATTGATCCAGGAAATGTTAAACATTTGTTTCTTTTACTCTTACATGCTCTTTCTTTTGGCAAGAGTTGTCTAAGATTTATTGTTTAGCATTGCTATTGTGAGCCCTAAAGTACACATCATCAGCAGGGTTGTTTAAAGAACAACTTTGGGAGAAATGTCTGTTTAGGATTTTTTCCCCCCACTAAGTTCAGATAGTCTTAGTGTTATATTTGATAATAAAGTGCTTATTGGGTATATCATCTTATTTCTCCTAAGCCCAAAATGTTCTTAAGAAAGAGGGGGGGGAACAGAACTCCTTAAACTAATTGCCAATTTTCAATCTCCTTATCTAAACCTCACTGGTCAGAACAATGGCATTTAACTCAGAATGTTGAATTCTCCAGCATCCTGCTTGTAAGTTGCTGTGTTGTCAATCAGACATTGGAATGTTTGTGCACAGACAATGGAGCCAACATTTCTCTGCTTAGAACTTTTTTGAAATATTTACAGTCTCCTGGGGCAATTATCTGCCTGAAGAGTGAGATACATGACACCATTTATAGGCTATGTTATAAAGCTTCAAGTTGGAATAAAGGAAAGTAGAAGAGGGAGAAAGAAATTTCATCTATCTATCTATCTATCTATCTATCTATCTATCTATCTATCTATCGTTATGTCTTTTTTTGTATTTTGCAATGAGTGATGGGGCCATTTTCCTTTCATCCACCCCCTCTCTTCTCTGCTCTGCTATGCTTCCATTTAATTAGTTCTGCTGATTTATCTCTTGCTGGTTAATGTTGCATGTCTAAATATGAAGTCTCAGGTGTGGGAGTACCAGTGGCCTAATGAATTGCATCTCATTCTCATTAAATCTAGTGTTGCATCCTTTTCAAGTAAACTTTCCCATGGAACCAATCTTTCTAACTTTGTTGACCAACGAACCTTCAGTTGTTTATAAATAGACAATTAACCGGGAATTAAGTTAGCCCCATTGCAAGTTTAGTTCTGTTGATGATACGTCTGTCAACAGGTCAGAGAATGCTAGTAACTAAACTTTTTAGTTAAAAGGCCAATCAATCATTGTCTGTTGTGGGTTTAGGTCTCCTGCAGCACAGAGACCCCTCCTGAGGGGAAGTTAGGGCTCACAATAGCAATGCTATTTGACTGACATTTCCTGAGAAATGGTTCCGATAAGCTCAGTCAGCCGAATCTGGAAACGAGAATTGGGGACAAGGCTTTTCTCAGAGTTGCTATGCATAATAGATGATGCACTAAATCCCATTCCTGACCAAAGAGGGATAGTAATACAGGCTTTCATAGCATAAGTAGGATCATCTGAACTGCCATTTAGTACAAACCGTTTACATTGAAAAATAAAACCGGAAACATATCGAACAATGTTATGCTGCAGACCAGTAGCCAAGCCATCCTCCTCCATATGGAAATGCAGGTAAGTTTACGTAAAATAGGACACTTGCTTTATGGGTATCCTGGGACTCAAAGGAACACTTATTCTTTTGGAAGGTTTTCAGAAATGTAATCAAATTCAGGAGTGTTATTTAAACACTTATTTTGCTAATTTTCTCTCCTTAAGAAAGTCTAATCTTCCCAATGAGAATGTGTGCTCATTATACAGTATAAAAGTCCAGCGTGCTAAATGAGAAACTTATTTTTAACAGAAAACTAAGGTTATAGATTTAGAACTCATCCTTACAGGCATTTTTAAGAATACTTAGACTGCTATCAAGTAATACCTTAGGAAAATAAGGTATATTTAATGATATTAAATATATTAGGAAATTAGCTTTATTATTTTTTTTTTTAAAAAAAATCTTCCTCCCATAAACAAAACTTGTTCATGCAGACAGACGAAATTCAAATCAGCTAAAGTATGGACATTTGGCAAAAGGAAAACATATTGCTGTTGAAGGATATTAGCCTCAGTTTTGAATACCAATTTGAAGCTTCAAGAGCAGCTTTTGACGCTATCACTCCATCCATTCATCTTTTTCTTTAATCAATCATAAGTCTTATTGCCTAGGGTTTCCTCCCAAATAAAGTATCCTAGGCTTGGAAGTTTAACAACGTAACATCTTGACTAGCTGGTACTTTATCTTCATGTGTATCTTACAGATTTCTGACTACTTTGTCTAAAAGTTACGTTTTCTGTTGAATTGATTTCTCTCTTTCCCTTCCCCTTTTTATTGTACAGAACCTGAAAACTAAAGAAAAACAACATTTGTACAAGAGTTTAACCGTGGCCTTGGTCTGATAACAATGAATCATTATTACATTGCTTTTATGTGCACTGTGCTTGGCACTGAATTACTAAGGAGCTTCGGTACCCCTGTCAAATCCCCAAGGTTCAGAGGTCGGGTGCAGCATGAACGAAAAAATATTAGGCCAAATATTATACTTGTGCTTACAGATGACCAAGATGTGGAGCTTGGTAAGTCTGTTTTGAATTGCAGCATCTTTTTACCACCTTCACAATTTCCTTTGACTTGCTTTTATTCTTTTGAAAACCACTTTCTGCTCTGTAAATAATCCTTCTATATAGTGGCCTTTCCTGTCCATTATTGTAGCTACTTGACAGATTTGGATAACCTGTTTCCAGAAAACAAAATGATCTGTTTCTTTGCTTCAACATGATATATCTTATTCCTATTTAACTGCGGAATTGAGATAATGTTCAGCTACCTCTGATTAAATGAAGCATTTTATAATACTGTGTGGCAAAGGAGGGAAGTTTCCTGTCAACAGCAGTTAATTTTCTAATAATGGCCATTCATGAATGTGTGTAAAATACTAAAGATCTGGATATATAATCTCTTGGATGTATTTAGACTTATATTTTATCTGTGTATACAATTATAAGCTGATTGTTTTAATATATTATGTTAATATATAATATAATATATATATAGGGCTGTTATCGGGAAAATAGGAGACAGGAGTATTAAATATGAGATAGATAGATAGATAGATAGACAGACAGACAGACAGACAGACAGACAGACAGACAGACAGACAGACAGACAGACAGACAGACAGACAGACAGACAGACAGATACAAAGGGACTTTGAAATCCTTGATAACAGATTACTAATTGGTGTCTCTTGAACTGAGAACTGAGAACAAGAATAAAATACTAATTTATTTTGGGAAGTGGATTATATTTACTTAGGAATATGCTATTGAAATCTTCTGTGCAATTGTGTATATCATAGGCCAATACCAAAAAGATTCAAATTCTGAACATAGAATTTAAATGAAAGAAATTCCTTTGAACAGTGTTGACATGCTAAGTATGGCCCTGAGGAATTGCCATTCTGTTGTGCATTTGTTTAAAAATTAACTGCATACTTTTAATAGCACTTGGTTTATATGTAAATAGCAACTAATTGCAAGACTCATGGGCTGAAACCTAATACTTTGCTCATTACCTTGAAGCGATAAAATGTGATGATATAGCTTCTGGTATGGAATATAGTTTTCCCTATGAAATTAAATGTTAAGAAGGGAAGTTTGTGGTGCTCTAAGATATTTCTTTTAAGCTTAAATTGTTTCTTGCATTCTTAGTTAAAACTGATAGCACATTTATCATTACTGAACTTTAAAAAAAGAATGTGTTTATTGAAATGAAAACACTCAAGTTGAACATGCCTACAGAAAATAAGCAAAAAAAGGTTATGAAATAGACAAAAATTGTGTGCAGCACCCACATTGTCAATCTAAAGTTGCCAACTCCAGTTGAAACCAATCCAGGAGATTTACCTTCCACCCAAGAATATTATGTATGTATGTGTGTGTGAGAGAGATATTAGTATGTGAGTATATTTGAGAAATAGCTGGAGAAACACTAGATGGCAACAAAGAATTTCAACTGCTGTTGAGTTAGCTGTAGGAATGAAAAGGAAAGAAAAAAGGAACAGTTCTTAGGTATTATAAAAGGATTAAACTCATCAGGCCAAAAAAACCTGAGCAGCAGTTGTCTCTCACTCCTATTCAGACAGCCACATCTATATTCATTTGTGCCTATTGTTCGTTCCATTTTTTTCCAACAGATTCTTCTGTTCTTCTCAATGAATTTCAGGTAATTATTTGGGGGCAAAAGCCTTCCTATTGCAGATGCACTGTATCAGTTAAATCCCACACAAAATAGCTTTTCAAATGTCTTGATCTTTCTGTAATCTAAAAATGTATTGTTTTATGAGACTTATCTTACCATAAGGAAAAATTTCAGAAGAATAAATGTACAATCAAGTAATTAAATTATGCTCACTGTAAACAATAGTCTATACACAAAACCTTCAATAAATGGAAATTTCTTGGGATAAATTAAAATGTAACACTGAAAATTGTATTTAGTGATATTAGGGATCAAGATCAGAGTTTATATAAACTTTGAATGTGTGCCATACATGAGTTAATTATGTGTTTGTTTTTGATGTTTAGGGTCCTTGCAAGTGATGAATAAAACCAGGAAAATAATGGAAAATGGAGGTGCCAGTTTTGTTAATGCATTTGTAACCACTCCAATGTGCTGTCCATCTCGGTCCTCGATGTTGACAGGGAAATATGTTCACAATCACAATGTCTATACTAATAATGAGAATTGCTCTTCTCCCTCCTGGCAAGCAACACATGAGCCACGTACCTTTGCTGTGTATCTCAACAATACTGGATATAGAACTGGTAAGGGATTACTTTTCATGCTCCTTTTTCAATTTGATTTTAAAAGGTGCTTGTTTTCAATCTCTTAATGCTGTTAAGAACAGAATTATTTTTGGAAAGCTGATGCAGCAATTTTACCAAAGCTTAATAGTACTGTGTCATGTCAATTTGTGGGTAGGAAATCAGCAGAAAGCTATATAAAAGAGCAGATACTAAACTTATTAAAGAGTAGTAGCTTTGGTAGATAGAGGGAAGCACACTTTAGAGCATGGGTGTCAAACTCCCCATGTCACGTGACATGTCGTGATGTATTGTGACTTTTTTTGCATTGCTGGAGCTGAGGGGGCGCAGCCTCCATATGATGCAACCGGCCCACGGGCCGGCAGTTTGACACTCCTGCTTTAGAGAGTCAACCTGGACCTATATTAATGTGAAGGTCTTCAAATAAAAATACAGGGATTTTCTTCTCAATAAGGAGCCTGCCTTTATAATCCTTTTGTCCAGATCATAGGACCAATTATCTGTCCTTTGCATTGCCCTAAAAATTAAATTGAAACAAACAGAATATTTTATGAAAATGCAAACTGCAGATAGAGAGCAGGCCCTAATCTTGTTATGAAGGATGTGGAGAAGACAATCTAATGGATTGCCAGCATTTATCAGGGGTTGTCAGCCAAATGAGGCTGTTCCTGGTACACATGGAGTGCTAACTCTGGTAACAAAGAGTTGGATTCTGACTTTGGTTGAATATCAAGCCCTAAAACAAGGTGGCAGTTAAAAACAGCTGAGCAGTAGAGATTTGTGACATTCCCAAAGAGGAAATGATGCCAACTTACTTAATTAGTGACTCTTCTCAAAGAAAATGTATCCAAGCCTGCCTCCTTTATTGGAAGCAACTCCTGCTTCCTAATTTGAATTTCTTTGGATTCAAGTTTCTAGTTCCTCCTAGTTCTTTGCCCTGTGGATTGATATCCAGTTTTCAGTTGAGAAGGAATGTGGCTTTACCTCAAAGGCAGGACAGGAGCATTACAGAGAAGATATCTGAATCTTGGGAAAGTAGAAAGTGTAGAAATAAATTCAAAACAACTCTTCCTTGACTGTATTAGATACAAGTTGAAGTAAAAAGGGGCTTTGGCAGACTTTCAAGATCTGTTCCAATACCCTAACTCATTAAAGTACATTTCTTGTGACTTCCATTTCCTGACCTTGATGGGCTGACATGAGCTCTTGGACTCCTCTAGCTCAATTTCTGTCTAAATAATTCAGGTTTTATCTCCCTCAGTTACTTACACAGGGTGACATGTGCTTTGCTCTAGTCTAGTCCATAGGCAAGATTGCTCCAATGAGCTTCCCATTGTGTGTAAGCTTCAGTTTGATTTACAACCATCAGCTTATGTGTTATCTCTGTTTATGCATTGAACTGATTTATGGCTAAAGTAATTGAAGAACTTAAAAACTACATGCTAATTTACTCCCACCTGTTCTCAGCTCTACCTTGAACAGAAGACTTTCCAATCTTTAAAGGCCCCCTTCCTTTCAGCTTTGTCTGCTGAAATAGAGTATGTTCAGTTGAGAGCCCAGCTGTTCCAGCTAATTGCTCTGATTGATGCTTTTTGCCTTTGCAGCTGAACCTGCTGACTGCTTCAGTCCTTCCATGAAACATACTTGAAAAGTTCTCACAACTAATTTCCAACATTTGCAACACCCTGAAGATTATCTAACAAAGTAGACAGAAATTAGTAGGACCAGTGGCCAAATATGCAATTCTATTGCCTTATAATTGAAGACCCCATTGCCAGATCAGAAAGCTACAACAAGGGCACCACCCAGTGGCAGAACCTTTAAATAACTTCCTGCTTTTGACAAGACTTGAAGAAGAATGAACTGATCCATTCCATAAAGACCGGGAGACCAAATTCTTGATGAGTTGGCCTGTCTTAAGCAGCCATCCATAGTGTAGTACCTTATTCATCTTTATTTATTTAGCATATTCATAAGATTGTCAGCTTCAGATGACTTTATATAGTATACAAAAATAAAAATAAGAAAGAAAATAGGGAAATCAATAAAAGACAATAGTTAAACGAGAAGGAAAACCACATATTCTTTTATCCCAGAGGTCTCAAATGAAGTCCATGGGTCATGTGCAGCCCTTAGGCTCTCAGGAGCTGCTGGCTTAACTTCTCTGTTGTACATATTTGGCCATGCTTGGCAGCAACTTCTCAATAGGGTGACTGTACATTCCTGATTTATTATTTACGATTTGACCTAGATTTTGTAGTCTTAGGCAAAATATTCCCACTGTCTTCTTCCATGCAGAGTAAGCTGCTCTCCCATAATGCCAGCTTGTGCAGTGCTAAGTGCATTTAGTGCACTAAGTGGCTTGCATGGCACTGCTGTAGGGGAGAAGCCAATTCTGCAGAAATTGTTGCTGCTAGGGCAGAAGAAAAGCCTGTGGTGTACAAGAGAGGGGAAGATGACACTGCAGAAGGCAGTGCTTTGGGGAGAAGGTGGGAGCTCTCCAGGGGCCTCACAAGGGAATTAATAGCAGGAAACAGTGCCAGTTTATGTGCCTCTGCTTCCTCGGAGCTAGCTAGTTTGCCTGTTAATGGCATAAAGGATCAAACTGCCAGGGGTACTGTTGGTATAGAAAAGAAAAGCAGGAAGCGCTCGGTTGGTATCCCGGCTTGCACTCGTTGAGGTGGTCAGGAAGAGGGGGGATGTAGAATGGGAAGGAGGAAGGAGGAGAGGTTGTGGGTTAGAGGTAGGAAGGAAAGGTAAGTGGATGAGGGCGGAGGCAGGTCGGGAACCTCTGAGCGTTTCTGATAATGTATTGAATTGGATTGTGGTTTTTTTGTGTATGTTTGTGTTATAAATGCATCATATTACTTATTGTTCAATTATAAAAAATTAATAAAATTTTCTTTAAAAAAGAAAAAAGAAAAGAAAAGCAGTAGGAAAGTCAGGAATAATAAATGTTTTTTTTTAAAAAATATAGTTTTTGCATGATTTTATTATTTATTACTTTAGCGCCTCTGTCACTCTTAAATGTGAGATAGATTAGGCAACAGATTGTGTGGTCTGTGGTCAAATGGAAATGTGGCTTCCTGTTACAGTGAGAACATGATGTTTTATAAACATGTTTTAAATAAAAAAAAGTCAGTTTCAATCATTTTAATATTAGTTGCATTTTTGCAGAGAGTCCACCAGCTAGCACACTGAATGTAATGTATATTCATTTGAGTTTGAGACCCCTATTCTATCACATTTACATTCTTGAGCCAACTACCCACCCTAAGGCAAAATCTTAGGAAAAGACTCAGATTTTAAGGATTCATATAAAAGGAGTGAGGTGACAGTTATTTGGACATCTGGGAGTATATTTTCAGAACTGGGCACAATAGTAGAGAAGGTCCATTCCCTGGATTCCATCAAATGACATTGTTTTATAAACAGGACCTGGAGCTTGTTAGCTCTGTCTGTCCACGGTCCCTTGGGAATAGACAGTCCCTCAAATGCAGTACTTGGCCTTATGCCATGTAGGGCTTTAGAGGTGATAATCAGTGCTTTGAACTGGAGATAGAAGAAAACTGGTAGCCAGTGCAGCTCACAAAGCATACTGAAGCATGTCCACCATTGCTCTGCTGCAGCACTCTGGACCAGTTGTAAGTTCTAAACAGTCTCCAAGGCAGTCTTATTTATAGCACATTGCAATAATCTACACGTGAAGTGACCGAGGCATGAACGAAGAATCTCCTTGTTCAGGAATAGGTGCAGCTGTCACACAAGATGCATCAGTGAAGAAAGTGTCCTAAACCTTCCACTTGCCCTTTGAGTAACAGCTAAGCTACCAGGAGGACCCAAATGAGTAACTGCAACCCCATTCAGAGCTAAAGAGAAAAAGTCCCCAGACCCAGATGACTCCAACACCCATCAGTAGGATTCCATCCAGATTCCCAACAGCTTTTAGGCCATTGGAATAAGATCTTGTCGGCATCACATGGTTAGCCAGAAGTTAGCAGAATCAGATTCCAAGGAAAAGGAAGCAGTAGTGGACAATGGCAGGGATATGCCTTGTGCTTCCTTGGGTTCAAGGGGAGTGACATTGCCAGAACCATTTTCTGTTAGTACAAATGCTTCCCCCATAGACATATGGCAGACCACTCCCGCTTGGGCAGAAGGCTACCATGCTATGCAGAAGTATCTAGAATAGTCTTTGATGGAAAACTTCCTTTTCTGCTCTTTTATAGCTATTTTGAAAATACATTGTAACTTTCAGGTTCTGCAATATCCCTTCTGTCTTTAATCATCTAAAGCATGCTATTTTGTGAGATTTCATGGAACAATTTGATACTATTTATTTGAATGACATTCTATTTTATTCTCTCTCGAGATATACACATGCCATGTTGAGGCAGTGTACAATGGTTTTAGGAACATTATCTATAGATCAAATTAAAAAAAAATGTAAATTCAAAGTAGCCACCATTGACTTTCTGTGCCATCACATTTCATTAGAAAGACTTCAGATGGATTTAATAAAGATGGAAAGCATTCTGGTTTGGCAACCCCTCAGGGATTAAAATTGTTCAAAGGCATTCTTTACAAACTCCATAAACTTTGAGACTTTGCATCAATTAGACTTTGCATCTATCCCTGAGAATAGAATTGCATTATTTGGAATAAGGAGTTTTTGCCCATTAAGATGGCCTTTGGAAGCTGGCCTTTGAGGCTTGTTTGAAAGGGCTCAACATTCTGTGGAGGTAAGGACAAGCCACTATGGCTTGGAATACCTCCAGACAGCTTGTAAACTAAACCAAAGGCGGTAGTGGGGATTACTATTCTTTTTTTTCCATCCAACTTCAAAGTAACTTCCATCTCAACAAAAGGATGGATGCCTTGTTTCAGAAGTCCAAATATTTGTTCTTTGGTTTAGGCCCACCATAGTCAAGAAATTCTCAGCAGATTACAATTATTACAATAAAGTATCCACATACCGTTCCAGTTATATAGCAATAAACAGTTATCTGTGTTTTCCCTTTACAAAAGAACATATAGGGAGGAAATGTTTGGGCTACGTTGTATCCTTCATACAAGGATGGGCAGTGTTGGCCTAAAGAAGGCTATCCAAATCATCCTGAATGCTGCTGAACATCTTTTACTGCCCCAGGTACTGAGACAAACAACAATTGGTTCAAGGCACTCACTTGCAACTTTGTAACTACAATTGCCATTGGTCATCTCCATCTGTTATAGCATATTCTTACATATCCTTGATTGTTTACTACATTAATTTAAATACTGGAGACTTTTCCTTTCACACACACATGTCTTTTGATGTTTAGACGTTCAGATATTTATAAGGCACTTTACTTCACTGGACAAGGCAGATCCCCCCCCCCCAAAAAAAAACATTTTTCTTAGTTAATTAACCAATGCCTGCATTTTAGGAAGCCTTGGTTTGAAAATATTCTCTGGAAAAAAGGAGAGACTTAAAAATATTTGGAGTATTTTCATTAAAATGGTGTTAGTCAATAGGGGGCCCTCTAGCATCTGCCAGATCAGCATAATCTTTCAACAGGGTAATAGACATTGAAATCTCAGGTATCAAGTGAGCACAAGGTTGAGGATAGATAAATAGAATTCAAGGGAAAGTTGGTCACAGTCTCAGATACAGAGGATGTGTCTACAAAAACTGGAATGATACTGGGAGGTTATTGATGCTTGAATCATAGTATGAAAACAACTATGACATGTTAGTATCCTAAGGGAGAAAAAAGATGAAAATAGTAAAAAGTTTAAAATCAGTTGCAATTAAGGGAGTAATGTGGCAGGAGGTTTTTTGCTCACCATTTCTTCTTTTCTCATCAATATATATACAGTATATATATATATATATATACACACACACATACATACATACATACATACATACATATATACATATATACATATATATATATACACTTATTGTTTACCTTGTTGTTTATCCCGTCTTAATTGAGCAAATTGAGCAAATTCAAATAGACTCCATTATTCTAAATTGGCAAGATAAGTTACATGCTTGTAAACAATGGTGCTGTATCCTGCAAAATTAGATTTTATCTGTGTACTGGCTGTTTTTTATATCTCTTTAGAATTTACAGATTAAAATTCTCCCTTTGGGCACCATTAGTTACAATAATGAAAAGACAGGCAATGATATTACTTTTTAATGAGACTTTTTATTAATTCAGCTGTATTTGTATGCTTATTAATTATAGATATTTAAATTAATTTCTAATTTTCCTTGCCTCTGTTTTTAAATATATTCATTGGCAAGGGGCATTTTAAATAATATGAAGATGTGAGCAGCCAGTTGGAATATTTTTCTTGGTTTTGTACAGGGATTATGAGGATTAAAAGTCAATACATCTATAGTGCATTTAACTGAGGAAAGCTGATTTATATTATAAATCACAGGTTAATTTATATTACATTTTTATTGCAACTATTGCCATTATATACAATGACTAAGATAGCTTCCAATTTTAATTACTTAGCTTCTAATATTTTTTTAAAAAACATCCTTCTAATTATTATTTTGACAGTATAATATATAGTATAGTACTGAAATTTATTTGTTTTGTTTTATTTCTATATCAATCTATCTCAACAAATGAGTCTGGGTGGCATACATCATAAAATAAAAAAACAATACAAAATAAATATATATAGGATCAAATAAAACTGTTACTATGGACATTAATATAGCCCGAAAATTGAGCCCTTAACACACATCCAAGGCCTTGGCACCCAATTAAGTCTTCACAGCCTTATGAAAGGCCAACAGGGTCAGGTCATTCTGATATCTGAAGGGAGAATATTCAAGAGGACAGGGGCTGTAGCAGAGGATTGATCACACTTTCTTTAAGGCCTGGCAGAACTACCGTACCTCCTCTCTCAAGAATGCATTCACCACTGCCAGTCATTGTAATTGCACTGAATCAGCGTAAGATTAGGCAAACCTTAGCATTTTTTTCAAGAACCAAGGACTGGGATGGGCCAATTATGGAGTTGAAGAACACATATTTGTTGATTTTCAATTTTCTGTATTTATCCATATTTGTGTAATCTGCTTCAAAATGATGAAGAATGTGCCATCAATTCTTGACCTGTATAGCTGGAAAACGCTCCAATTGCCACAAGATTTAGGGCTGCACATAGATCTGGGTCTTTATGTTGCCAACTCTTGCTGTAACCAACTAGCTAATTTTTTACTTCATAAAACACCACTGTTCACCAAGTGCCATTGAATGTGGATTCTTTTTCTTTCACAGCTTTTTTTGGAAAATACCTCAATGAATACAATGGCAGCTATATCCCTCCTGGCTGGCGAGAGTGGGTTGGATTAATAAAAAACTCTCGTTTCTATAATTACACTGTTTGTCGCAATGGCCTTAAAGAGAAGCATGGATTTGAATATGCAAAGGTAAGGAAGAATCAAATTTATCTTTTTATGCACATAGGTAAAACCTATTCTTGATAGAAGAAATGATATTTTAAAATCATTTCATTGAAATAGTACTCTTAATTTTTTCTGTTGACTATATGGTCAGAACTTTTTTCACATAATGTTCATAGAAGGTCAGTTAACACTATGGATTTCTGGTTATGAAGAAGAAATAATAAAAGGTACTAAATCCTGGAAACTTGACTGTGGCAACAGACAAACATGCAGGCACACACAACAAAAATTACACAGCACACTTTGTTTCCCATGAAAAGAAAATATGTTTTATCTTTTGGGGGAGAGATAATTTGCAAAATAACCTGACTGCCTATGTTATGTATAATAATATGGCATTTGAAGTTTGGAGAAAACTTTCTCCTTCAGAGAAGTAGGATAAAACCTAACTTAAACTAATAATTTAGGTGAGAATATTTTAAAAAAATAAAGAACAAAGCCAAAAGCGCAGAGAGAAAAAATGAAGAAATTAGTTCTGATTTTCTTTTACAGTAGTTATGAGTATAAATTCAAATTGACCTCTTACTCTAGGGTTACAACAAACTTTCTTTCATACTTTTTCACATATATCACCAAAGTACTTTTGGCATTGGCAGTTTGAAAACAGTCCTCGAATGAGAACAAAGTGTTCACAGCTGTTTGGGCTTCCCTAATAGTGTTATGTGAAAAAAATGCACCTTTTTCGCTGTTGCTTTTGCAGCTGTTCATGACCCTGACTCCACATCATCTGATTGATTAGTCTTGTCTGGAAATGGTTGAAATTGTATGTTCATGTTACCTTGGAACTCCTCACTGGAGTTCATGCCAGTTATTTGATCAAAACCCCCACAAACCTAGAGATGGCAGTTAGTTTAATTCCCAACTTTTAAAAAAAATCTTTCCCTGTGTGTGTGTGTGTGTGTGTGTGTGTGTGTGTGTGTG